AGCAAAGTTTCTTTTAAGAATATGGAGTATTTTAATTTTCTTTTTTCTTTTTATTTTCATGTAATGCACCTGCATATTTTTAGATATACCTTTTTTTTTTATTTTTATTTTTCCCTTTTATAGTTTCTCAAATTCAGTTCCTTGGAGGATAATAAACAGTGATAACCTGCTGGCAATAATGGATAAGTTAGGAGGGTCTTCACCCAAAACTTAATTCAAAATGAAATATTGTTCTCAAGATTGTATTTAGAGATTAAAACTCTTTTGAGAATTGTAAGCTATTGACGAGTATGTCAGTATGAGTCTTTTAGTTTAGCCATGATGCAATTGTCCTATATACTGTATCTCTATCGGTTTTCTTAATGATTAATAAACACACAGTACTGGCCTGACCACTGGTATTAAAAAAAAATATATATATATATTAAAAAAAATATAATTTAATAATAATAACAATAAAAAAAAATAATTAAAAAATAAATAGTTAAGAATAAAAAAAATTTTTTTGAAAGATTTATAGTCATAATTTATAAGCCATGAACTTTATTTTATGATTAAAGGATAATTCAAATGATGAAAGAACAAAATATTATTTTTTTAAAAAAGATTAACTTCAATAATAGATAAATCTTAGCCATCATGTGATCAAATTGTTTATATGATAAATATGTCGCACAAATCAAACTGAGAATTGGGTATTTGGTACATTACATATTTTTGAATTGGACACAGTGTGATCGCCAAGTCGCTATAAAGGAATCGTAAGTGAGACCTTTACGTAGTGATATCTTTACATTTATAATTTTGTAAATATTATATATAAAAAAAATAAAATAAATAATAAACCATAATGGATAGAACGAACGACCAGCGCCGTACTAGTTCTCCGAATTATAATCGACCTCGGGATACGACACCATATCGTTCAAATTCTAGTTATTCGTCAGATAGGGATAATTATTCAAATTCAGGTTCTCACTACATATCTTCACGAAGTTATTCGCAAAACTCGGATTATTCAATGAGAGAATCACAAGCAACACCTCGTTATGAGAGAGACGAAGAATCGCAAATGGCTTTCAGAGGTCAGGTTCCCTTTTCTGGAAATCCTAGAGATCTAAAACCCTATGGGCGACCTCCAATGTTACCCCCACAACCTTACGATCGTAGACCTCCTTACCGTGGTGGCGCTCCATATCATGTTCCGTACTCACGTCCAGGTGTAGGCGGCCCACCACCTCACGGCCATAGAGATTTTGGAGCCCCCACACCGTATGATTCACCTTATTCAAGAGGAAGTCCACTTCATCCCTCTTATCAACGGCCACCATTCCATGCACCTTTCCAAAGACCTCATTTACCTCCACATCTTCCTATATTTCCACCGAAAAGACCAGTTCAAAATATTTCCATATTTTCTCCATTGCATGAAAAAGAGGTATCCTTTATTATTGGTTAAATTGATCGCACGTTTTTATTATATCGTTATTCATTTTCCTTCATGAATACTTAAAAAAGATATCTCAAAGTAAACAAGAAGATCAGAGACTTAGAGATGAAGAATGGAAGTTGATGGTCGATCTCCATAAAAGGCGTGGAGAGTTAAACAAATCGACATGGGAGTGGACCAAAGTATTGCATAATACTTCGTTGGCTTCACAACAAATGGAAACACTTCACACACCGGAAGAAATTGAAGCATTGTGGAAAGCGTGCGAAGAAAATGCCACTAAAGATGCTTTAAAGAATCATTGCTGAAATTCATTGACGATTCTGCATTAGCCTATGATAAACACCATCCCGTAATTCATTGATACTTTTTGAAGTTTTTTTTTCGATTTCTCATTTCCCAATGCAAAACTGTTGAAATATAACGCTCAATATTTCATCGACACTGACTCGACCAGTAATTTTTCCTAATGCGTTAGCCGCATGTCTTAACTCTTCTGCCGCCAGGACTAAATCGTTTTGCACTGATACAATTTCAATGGTGGTGTTAACACAACGACATCATTTTTAACACAAATTTACATAGAGAAAGATTACAACGCCTACCAAGAAAGTTTTGTAGACCTCGTACACAATCGTCAAGGTGCCTGCGATGTCGAGCCTGAGTGATCAATGCGACATGGGAGGTGCAATTATCATATCTATTTTATAGAAACATTATTTGTGGATTAGTGAAAATGAAGTTGGCAACACTTGAAAGAATGAATAAATTGATACTTACTTTTTTCTCAAGAAGTTCACAAAAATTTCTAGAAATTCCTTAATACCATCTTCAGTAATACATGACAAACAAAAAGCACAATTTCCTGGAACAAAGTTTGCAAATATTTTTCTCAAGTAGGATAATTCGTTTTTATTCAGTAGATCGCTTTTGTTAAGAATAAAAATTGTATCTTCATCCACAGAGTCATAAATTAATGGATCTATATCATGCAAAATATTGTATTTAGAATTCGAGGAATTCAAAACATCAACACTCGAGAGTACGCATATTTTCACGTCAGATGAAATTATGCTGTATTAAAGAAAAA